GTGTCGACGTAATAAAATATCGATAAAGATCTCCTTTTTCCAGGGTTGGGATATTGACCCCGTGATATTGCATAAAGTGCACCATATATCAAGCGTTTATCACCTCAAATGTAAGCATAGCTAACTTATTATATATTGATAATCCTACCGATGATTGGCTAACATATAATAGCAACAATAGGGGATCCATAGATTATCAAATAAACAATTAATAATTCAAACCACTAAATAAAAAAGGCAGTATTTGTCACCCAATCTTTGAATATTAAACACTTTGTTCAGTGTGGACGAATTGAAACCACTTTTCAGTGCGTATAAACCGTGTTTTCCTTCTATGGCAGCGGGGTGATGTTGGGATAATTTGGGGTGGAGGTTCAGAGATAAATCGGAAGTAGGAATATGGTGTTACATCTGGACAATTGTGGATTTTTTATTCCTTCTGCTGGGAATATGTCGGGCAGTTTTGCCGTCAATTATCCCTGGCGGAGAACACTGATATGTTAATTAATTGGCGAGAAATTGAAATTGGACACAATATCGATACGTGTAAATCGAACATGGCACATGGCAAGCTTTCAAGTCTTTTTAATATATTAAATCAAATCACGTTAGGTATACTAAAATGAAACGCAGAGTCCTAGCTAATTGCAAACCTGAATTCAATTCCCTATGAATAATTTCAGACACATTTTCTCATGATTAACAATGAACGTGTTAATTGTATTAACAAGTAACACTTTGTTATTATCATTCCTAATCAATAGTATTTTCTAGATGTCTTCCAGGCAATGTCGGTTGATTCTATCATTATGAGGTTATTAGGAGGATACTGCAAAGTATGCACGAAGACAGTACAGCCGGAGGTTGCGCGGAGGTCGATGCGATCGCGTACTGTCTGAGGACAGAATCCTCGTAATAACCTTATTATTATATATCTTTTCCTCCCAAGAATACATCATGGGAATGCCGAAATCCAAAACGTTTAGAACAGATTTAGCGAACCACTTTGTGTGGGGACCGGTCAAACCCTGGGGACAGCCATGTTTGTTTGTTTGTGTTATTAGTGGACGCTTATGCGTGCAATCTTTCCATATTTGGAATTCGCGTTTCCTAATATGGTAGGATTTAAATACCCAGTGCAATACCGCAAAATTACGATACGCTGTAATTTACGTTACGGTGACAGATGTATACTAATAGTAAATATTAAAACATCTTTTTTATTTCTATTGTATATTCACTAAAAATTAATATTATAATTCTGATTATATGATTACTTCCTGTGCATCTACTCAAATAAAAGATATAAACGACGTGAAAACGCCTGCACCTGGGTTCCGACATTTATAAGCCGGTTAAGTGCGACCTTCATCCTAATTTGCACGCATGCGTGTTGCTAAAGTGAAGTATTTGTTTTATGATTCATCCATTCGGATTGCCCATGAGATAATTTGGAGGCTAATGGTATAGGTATTTGTTCAGATGCGCATGTTTTTGCCACTCAAAGTACAGCGCCACAGTAATCGCACCGTGATATGTTCGACATCGGTCCACATACCACGTAGATAACGAGTGTAAAATATAATGTTTGTTCATTTACACGAAGTGCGCTACTTGACGACTGCGGTGTTTTTAATCGCGGTGCCACAGTCTTCGGGAATAAATACATGTAGAAGCGCTGCTAAGTTAGTTCTGTAGAAATACAAATCGCGGATCCCGTTTGTGTGAATTCAAAACAAAGCTAATGTCTGAAACAATCGCTATTATTAGCATTTTTATTCAATGTCATCTCCGTTATCAGTACATTGTCAAGTCACTCAACGTACATCGTTTTCGTTATCCTTTGGGATTTCCAGCAAATGACGTCATTTGAGTTCAGACTGCGTGCAAGGTATAACCATGTAATTGCCGATATAGAGTGTGATATACACAGAATATTTAATGAATACATCTTCATTGCTCATGTCAAGTGATGTTAAAAATGGCGCACACGTCTTTAACTCACGTTTACGTCTACAACGGAAGCGACATCCACGCTTTATCTCAATAACTCCGTTACAATGGCGTTACACAATATATGTTTTTTTCAGATTTGTGAATTTTTGTCGGCGAATATGTTTAGTTATGTAATACATAATAAATAATGTGCAAAACGTCATACATGGTTAGATTCCAAAGTTTCCCTTACTTACATTTATGATCGATAAAGCTCTCTTCGTTACACTGTGTTATAGATGATAATCTTAATAACAATTATATTCATTGCCGTTGAATAAAAAGCAATGACGACATTATAAATACACTATTTTATAGTTCTACAGAGTTTATATAATTTATATAGATTCCAAAGTCAGTTAAAATCGAAATAGTCAAAAATATACTTGTGTCTTATATAATAAGACTTAGTTCAGAAGGAAAAAACACATGTATCAGTTACATATCTGCCTTTATAGCAATTATTTATACAACAATTATCATTGTAATTGTTATTCGTCTGTAGTCAGGCTGCTGGCTGAGTCAGACAATCAGATTACCTCTGCATGAAAACTATAAATAGGTATACTTTGATGCAGTCACTCATGCCAGTGAATGTTGTCGGGATTCTTTCAGAGAAAATGGCTGCAAAATGTTTGTTTTCATTATTAATATATTAATTTTTCTTTAATTATAATTGCCAATTTATGTTTAAATTATATGCAGTGGACATTAGTCTATACACATATCTCTTTCATAAAGTACCATACATCTATCGCACACAAAATAATAAAAATAAAATTAAACTTTAAATACACGACTGTTTCAAAACATTGCTGATATATTTTAAAATCTGAATCATCTTGTATGCCCGCTAGGTATAAGTTAAATTAAATATTAAATAAATGAACCAAGAATGAAATAACCTCAACATAGAATAAACATTTACAGCATAAATGTTGCAAAATCTTGTAGAACGCCATAGAAATTAAAGAATTCTATGGAAATCGAGAGTTACATATGTTTTCAATATTTTTACGGATGTGAATTATTCTCAATTCCGTGCAAGTTTTTTAGTAGATACATCACTACAGAAATATATATAAGAATTATTAAAATCAATGTCAGCAGTTGTGGAATTAATGAGGGAGAAAGTTCTTTAATATTCAACATTGTATAGATTTTATATAAAAAACAAATGTCTATAGCTCTTTATAGAATTCAATAGAACTCTAAAGACGTTTTTCGTAATGGCCCATTTCTTCCATTCAATAGCTCAGAGAATCTTACCACTGTTCTTTAGTACTGTCTAGGAATTTATTTAAGCACAGTTGTCTGGAAGGAAAAATAAGGCAGCTGACAATTTGCATCCAATTAAATATATTTAGGATTGCCAGGTTATACAAAATAAATTTGCATTCTTTAAAAAGTAGTACAAGCCTTCTTATTCTTATTCTTATTTTTAAATCTGGATTCAAACTACCAGGGAATTCAAACTACCAGGGAATTCTAGCTGCTTCGTCAAATTATTCTCAAGATGTTTTCAAAACTACTTCAGTATGGTATAACTAACTATGAAAGACAAGTGAATTATAAAGTTAAATGTAAAAATGGTTTAACAAGTGAATTATAAAGTTAAATGTAAAAATGGTTTAACAAGTGAATTATAAAGTTAAATGTAAAAATGGTTTAACAAGTGAATTATAAAGTTAAATGTAAAAATGGTTTAACAAGTGAATTATAAAGTTAAATGTAAAAATGGTTTAACAAGTGAATTATAAAGTTAAATGTAAAAATGGTTTAACAAGTGAATTATAAAGTTAAATGTAAAAATGGTTTAAGTGAATTATAAAGTTAAATGTAAAAATGGTTTAACAAGTGAATTATAAAGTTAAATGTAAAAATGGTTTAACAAGTGAATTATAAAGTTAAATGTAAAAATGGTTTAACAAGTGAATTATAAAGTTAAATGTAAAAATGGTTTAGAGGAGAAATATCATTTCAATAAAGGTGTTTATTAATAAGGTGTTAATTAATTTATTCCTAAATAATTTCTCGGAAAACATCACTTCTGAAACACGTGATCCGCCAATCTTGGGGAACATCCCTGTCTACACTACGCTGATGATATTTGCATAATTTCAGACACAAAACAAGGCTTATCTAGGCTTGAAATGATGAAAGTCAAATTATACCCCAATGAAAGATATCCGTATTAATGTAAATTTCTCCCAAAATAGGAATTTGTTATGAGCAACGTAGGTACGCCCTTGATTTATTCATCAAAAAACAAAATATTTTCACGGAATCCAAATCTCTAAAAACTCACTGTTGAAAGAAGCTATTAAGAAATTAATGGCAAACGTTATGTGAAAGTAACCTTTTGCTAAATAACACCAAGAAAAGCCATCAAATAAGTAAATCACCAGAGGCACATTTCACAAAGAATAAATAAGATAAATTTACCCTCACTGCCATGTGATTACTAACTACTCTTCGAACACAATAATGATGAATGTGTTTGTGTGACTTTTCACAAACTGGTAGTTTAATAATAAATGAAAACCTACCACAGTTTGCATGACACGCACAGTATTAAGTGGGCATTACGAGTCACGGAACTAGTCGACAACTCGTTTGCCTACTTAACCTTGCGATGATCGGCTGCATTAACAAATAGCTGAAGTGTTATTAGTGTGAATTGAATGTACATTGCAGATGTATACATTGAGTGTACAATTGATGAGTGAAGACATTATATTATTACAGATGGATTGTTTGTCATTTACGGTGAATGCATTTGAAAATTCATTTCAAAGTTCTAAATATAGATACTGACTTGATACAATCTTGTTCTATATATCTGCATATCGCCCAATTAAATGAGCGGAGTACATCAGGTGTTATTGGAAAATTCACAGACGACAACGTGACAACCCGTTACATCAGTTAGACGTGTATAGCTCCATCACCTGGATGATAAACACTAATCGTCATTCTGAAAAATGTCGTCCCTTTTCTTGCAGAAGTACAGTATCACTTTATACTTAGTAGCATAGTGGCGTGTGGTTAGTTACTAGGTGTCTGTAGACGGATCAAGCGTTCACCATGGCGGGACTTCGATTTGTGTTGTGCTACCTTCTGCTCATTAGTGCAGGTCAGTCACATTTACACTCAATAAATGCACACAGTGCTGCTGTTATTGGTTTTTAGGGGGTATAACAGTGGGCAGCTTATAGTCGTGTTTTTCGATTTGAACAGGTATTGAAGTTGCAGTCACAGTGCTCAGTAGTACAAATGTGTTTATTATATTTTATAAATTAATGAAGCACAAGATTTTTTTTGATTGATATAATAAACTAGAAAAATACGCATGCGCGTTTGAATACGGGTACGTACCGTCAATTGACAGTAGGTACCATGATCCCTTGTGCTGCTGAAACAACGTCTTAGTTTACAATATATCTCCGTATTTCATCCTAGACATTATAGTCTTTACTTATGCAGTGGGCACGGAGAGTAGCAGAGGTAGTGGTAAACTGGGAGATGATCAGGATGAAGAAACCGAGACTGCCCCGAAGCCGAAACCTGACTCTAGCAGCACCGAAGGTAATGCCTATATTAGTAATCAACATGTTTAACTGTGTCATTCTGTGATGGTAGTATTTAAAAACAACCTCTTCAATGCCGGTAACGGTTTGTTGCAAGGAGTGGTTCCGTTCAGGTTTTATTCTTATTAATTTTTTACAAATGGTTGTTTTATCAATAATTTGAACTTAATGAGATTAACTTTTCCAAGACAATTTGATGTTATCCGTTTTAAATACTTTAAAGCGAGGAAGTCACCTGCGCATGCGTCAAATGGAAATATCATTGTTTACAAAAAGCGTCTACCCATGAGACTTTGCGTTTTTGGCGTGTGTTGTTATCGTCGGTTGGGACTCAATTACCGCGCAGGTGACAACCCTCCCGCTTTAATCTTTTTACTCATATATATTAACAATAGCAAGTGTCAAAGTGTGTCGTAACCTCATATACAGAAACTACGAGCTAATTATACGTGTATTTTGGGTACAGGGAGATTTTTAAATAACAAAACATGTTTGAATTCCCACGTGGTATATATTTTATCACATCTATTAGACATCCACCATTCACAGCTGCATCTAACATACGCCTCTCACACCCGCTCTCCCACAAAATATATTATTTATATTATGTATTACAGGCGACATTGAACAGCATTCATACATTGTACATTCATTGTTTGCTGGGAAATAAACCTGCGAAATACACAGTAAACGTTACATTCAGTAATGTGAATCACTAAATTTATCAAGTATAACAAATTTTTGGAATGAATCTAGAACTTCCGAAAATCAAGTTATTTTACCACTCACCAGATAAAAATGTCAGAACACCGTGAAAGTGACTAAAATAACTTTCTCACGAACGTACCACGCCTGACCACACCTTCTATCTTCATTCACAAGCCAGTCAGCTTACAGCGTTCTCGGTGAGCATCGGTATGCCACGCTAGCACCCGAACTCCGCACAGTTCGATGCGCGTTACTTATCATCACTGCACAAAGCAGCTTTGCA